CTCAACAGCACAGGATTGCTAGGTTTGCAAGAGCCACAGTATTAGTCATGTTTATAATTTCCAGCCACCTGCATGATCAATTCTACATTCCAATCTTCTTTTTCTCAAGACGGCCAAGGACATGACRTTGTACTCCCATGCAAGCTTTCAACACTGCATACRTCTCCACCTTTCTGTGTAACTATGAAAAAGGTTCAAGTACTGTAATGCCATAACAGTGTGCACCTGTACACTCATTACCTTAGCAAAACTAATAGCAATCATTTGTTGAACACAAWCASWAGAAAAAATGCACGGAATATATATCACAATCCATCACAACCCATCAAAACCACCATTCCACTGATAAAAGCTCGCATAGCATAGGAAACCAAAAGGAAGGAGTCCAATGTCTGTAGAAAGAGAACTGCTTCTTCTACACTTGGAAATCAGTGGCTACTGTTCCAGAGCTCAAATGGCCACAGCTCCAGGGAYGTGCASTTGAGGCAGGAGGGAGCCCRTCAGCTGGCAATGCTGACTCTGACATTACTGAATGTCTTTCAGCACAAACACAACAAGCTTGGTAGGCCAAGAARGTGTTCTCTGGGGCTGCTGCCACTCCTGCACCGCACGTTAGGATGTCAGTTCTTTCTTATATCTGCTTCAACATCCTTCGTGTGATCTCTGGGTTCACTCACGTGCTGATGGCTGGTGTCGTGTCTTTASCTGGGGTATCAYGGTGTYRMACTGGTCTSTCTGGTACGGTTTTACCAGGTGAGCAGGCACCGCCTTGGACCTATCAGTGATAGAACACAAGCATACCCTCTCCCTGGGGTTAGTAAATCATCAGGGGCTCACTATTGCACACCCAATTGTAGAGTCTTACATAAAATTTTTGGAAATGGGTTCTGCACATGCAAGCCCTCAGAACAGCATCCTATCCCTCTGCCAGGGATCATAATTGATGATCTGTGTTGCAAAAATGTACTGTAAATATCACATTGTCTAATTTGTCTTGAGGGGTAAGGGTCCCCCTTTTTCTATTAATAGCATGTGCTTATCTTAGTATGAACATCGACRGAAAGGAAAACAATACAGGTAACAAAACAATGACCTCACCACATGCTCAGTGTTAGCACCAAGCAAAAACAAATAARGCAATACATGCAATCAGTACTASACCAGTGAAAGGATTGTAATGTACAAAGATGCTTTTATCAACTGCCTGCACATTTCCCTATTGCCCAGGGTCTGCAATAGCTGGCTASCCCCATTTCACAGGTAGGATCTGGAGACCCTTTCTCGGGAAAGGTTTCCAAGTTTACCCTGAAGGGGTTCCAGCTTTGAGAAGCCCAAAGTGGCAAGTCAAAGTGACTGGATTACATTTTTACTGCAGAAACACCTGGATCTGTTGGCACTTCCCAACCAGCCAGGGCCAGGGCTTGGCCAGAGCCTAGGCCTCAACTGGGAGGGATTCCCTAAAATATCCTACAATCAGGCTTCTAACAATCCAAATTCTGAACATTTCTGAAAATTATACATTTCTTGCTGATAAATTCAATTTTTATACACCTTAACAGCTCATGTTTTTAAACCATTGCTCACCCATTTCCATCAAAATTGTTTCAGTGGGTTTCATCTTCTCTCTATAACAAAAGAACTTAATATTTCATTTTAAATGAACATATTAGAACAAAACTTAAACTTAATTTCATTGAAACTTAATGTCATTCAAAATCAACATCATCTAAAATTGACATCACTTAACAAAAATTACATCTAACAGAGCTTAAACTTATCAGAACATAAATTTAACTTCACTAAAACTTAACTTCAGTTTAACAGATCTGAAAATCTACAGACCTCAAACTTAGCACCATTTCAGTTTAACAAAGCTTACCACATAATGACACTTACTAGGTAGCTGAAGATACTCAGCAATTGATTAGCTTAAAATTTACTATAACACAGTAGTAACTCACTTACAGGCCTAAGTGACAAATCTAAAATACCTGGAAAGTATCTTACTTGCTGCAGCACTTTCACACACACACACGCACACAGAGTGTGTCAGAGGGTGTCAAAGAGTGCATTCAAGGTCCACCCATGGCAAAAGGTAACCTTGAATTGAGTGAAGCAAACACTTCGGACACTTTTGCATCTCTTCAGTGGGTATCCTGCTTAACAACGAAAATTTAACAAAACTAGATTGAAACTTCAGAGTGTTACTTTAAGAGTTTCAGGTACGACACTCTTAAGTCATTGACTTCACTGTTACAATGAAGCAACTGAAATTCTGTCACAACAGGTAAACGTCAATGAGCAATATGCAAGCTCCTTTTTCTCTTTTTTCTCAACCTTTCTTTTTCCTTTCTCTCTCTCTTTTTTTTTTTGAAAACAAATCACACAGTTGTAAATTAAAKAGCAGCAACATGCAGCTCTAGCAATTGACATCATTTAGTTTAGAGGACAACTAATGGTAGGTATAAGCTTTCTTGAAAATGCCTGTTCATTGTCAGTACCTTTCCAGTATTACTTTACCAGGATTTCTCAAAGTGCAGCCTTACTCACAGAAACTAAAACATTGTATTTAAAACATGCTCAGTTCAGAGATGGTAGGACACCTTCTAGTAATTGTCATTGCAACACATTTGAAATATAAATACTTAAGGGTATAATTATATACTACTGCCATGATTTTGGCACATGTAACTTTGTGAGTTCAGTGGGAGGCTAAGACCAAGGCAYGCACCTAAGCAGCCACAGTCAGCCCTCACCGACCTCAAAGGAATGAGCTACTGCATACCACACTGTTCCCTTTCTCCACAGAACAGAGGGCACCGGAAACTCAGCCACTGTGCAGAGAGCACAACACTCATGGGCAAATCCCTTCCATGAGATGGTGTCACTTTTAGTCATTTTGTAGTGGTTTAAAATACTCTCACATGTATGTTCATGGCAAAAATAATCACCTTCAAATTTTCTGATTAAAGCTGTACAAGCAAACRGRTMAAACCAGCASTATTCTGTATGGTGTTACAGTAGAGAATCTCGAGTGAATTATATCCAACTCCTGAACAGCTTCCACAGATAACACTCAAGGAGTTAAGTCCAGCATGGCCTTACACACTTATTTGTTCATGGAAACTTTTATAAATCATTCAATATTTTGACTTCAGTTAATTATTATGGCCTTACATTTGTCCAGTTASTGATCACTATAAATATTTTGAGATCTACTGAATTTGTCAGGSCCTTTTGCATTCATGCTGAGTGAATGAAAGACAGGAGCCAAAGGAGGGGCAGGAATCTGGATTAGGGCTTATTCAGCTTTATTGAATGAATTTTTTTATTTACACTTCAGCAAAACACACGGAAATGACAGTGTACACAAAGCACAGTACAAATACAACCCATATACACACCAGTAGAAGTACAATTTACATATGCAGGGATATGTGGAAATGCAGTGGCAAATACAAATACGGAGGGATATGGCTCCATATGACCCAAATGCATATCAACAAAATAAAACCATTTTTCTATTTCGGGAAAATTCACAACATTTTGTTTCATTGTTACAGGAAACCCAAAACAAAAGCAGCAGGCTGATTTTACATATCCATTTACTAATCTAGCTGGTTAGATTATGTGCAGTTGGAATGCTGTAAATTGTTAATACACTAGTAAAAAACTTATAGCAATGTATAAAAAAGCTATTATTGATAATATATTTAAAGTGATTTCATTGTGTTTTAATAATGTGTAAAAAGTTAKTATATCTTTATATTGATAACGTATAAAAAAAGCCTATAGAAAGTTATCAATTAACAACCTTCATAAGCACTTCGTCACTTTGATATACATTATATGTATCATAACAATAGTGCAAAAATACCAAGAAGGGGTCTTAACCGCCCAGGCCCTCAAGACCACACCAGAAGCCCCCAAGGATCCCCCCTGCCGTGACAGGGGCGACTGTCCCCCGGGATACTGAGCCCCCCACCAGCCCCCACTAAGCTGTGTCATATACACCTCAGGGTCTCACAGCGTCTTCCCATGCCCTCGCAGCAACCCTCACAGCCCCCCGGTGTCTCAGGGTCAGCTGAGAGRCGAGTATTCCGCTGCTGCCCGCCATGGCCCCGCCTGTGTCCCCTGTTGCTCGCCCCGTCCCGCGTCCCTCTCTTCTCCCCGCGGGTCCCGCCGCGTCCATCCCSATCCGCACTCGAGAGTTTCCCGTCATGCCCCCGGGCGGTACTACATCTCCCAGCTGCCCCAGCGTCCCCGCGCACGCGCAGCGGGGGGTGGGGGCCGGGCCTCCGCCATCTTCGCCGTGAGCGGCGTGAGCGGGGAAGGGGTGGGTCCGGTGGCTCTTAAAGGGGGCACGGCCCGCGGTGGGGTCCTCTCAGCACGGAATGGAACGCGGACCGGCAGAGGAGGTTTGCGGACGGCGGGGCCCGGGCGGAGGGGCTAGCGGGAGTACGACGGAGTCGCGGACATTTTGCGTTCCACCCGTCGCCGCTCTCCCGCCGCCCCGCCCGATTTAAGGCCCGGCGGCGGGAACGGGCGGGGGTACGGGGGGAGCCCGGCAGTAAACGGCGGGAAGGCGGCGGGGCTTAAACCGGGCGGGGCTGAGAGAAACCGAGGGCCTGTCCAGAGTCGGAGGGGCGGGGCCGAGACGAGCTGTGGGGCGGCGGGAGGCGGGGCCTGGGGACAGCGTGCTACCCCTCCTCGTCCCCCTTCTTGTGACCTCCTCTGTGTCACTCGGCCACCCCTCCCTGTGCCTCCCCGTCACGCCTCCATGGAGCAAGAAGATCCTAATTCGTCACCCAGCCTCCTCCCGATGCCCCCTATGATGCGGCGCCTCCCCGTGTCCCCCCCTCACCGTGTCCCCTGTCACCTCCCCAGCACTTCCCCGTGTCCCTGTGTATGTCCGCTTGTCCGCCCTGAGCTCCCAGGACTCCCCACCCGTGCAACAAGGCCGTGTCCGTGTCCCCTTGTCTTGCTCCCGTGTCACCGCCAGATTCTCCTGTGGAGCCAGCATACCCCAAGTTCCCCACCTGACTGCTAAAGACTCAGACCACCCTCCTMTGCCCCCCATCCCCCTTTGACTCCCCTGTGTGCCCCCAGCTTCTCCTCACGGACTCGGCCCGTGGGGGTCGTCCACGGGCCCCGGAATGCATCCGGCGCCAGAAGCGCCGGGAACTGGACGCGCGGCGCAGCAAGTGCCGCATCCGCATCGGGGGGCACCTGGAGCGCTGGTGCCGCCTCAAGGAGCAGCTTGGATTCACCCTGCACTCCCAACTGGCTCAGTTCCTCCTTGACAGGTCACTGTGGGGGGCTCAAAAACCATTAAAACCCACCTGGCATAGGGAAAATCCAGGTTTCTGCCTGCTCACATCTGTCTTCCCATGCAGGTACAGCTCTCATGGCTGCACCTGGAGCCCAGGTAGGCACTTCTCTGCCAATTACATGTTGGCATCCAGTAATTTGGGTCCATTAGAAGTTTGTGGTGGAGAGGGAGGATTCCTGTTGAGTTGGGTGCTGGAGAAGCACACGGAACTGCACTTGGGTTTGCTCASCCCCCTGAGTACTAGGCACATCCTCCCTGCATTCCCTGTTTTTGGCATCCCAACCTGTTTTTTTGAAAACTACTTGAGAATTTGAGGGTTGCTCTTAACAATGAGGAAGCCTGAGTACATGAGGAAGGTGGAGAGGATCTTGCCACTGTCCCAACACCCCAAAACACCATTATGGAGCTGTTTTTTACACATTTCTCTGTTCTCCCAGGAGAGCCACAGCTGGAGCGGCTACAGCCAGCTGCACTGCAGCACCTGGTTGTGCTGTCCCACGGCCATGGCCAGGAGTGTGGCTTCGTGCCGGACATCCAGCCACCGGCACCAGGCAGCGGAGGCCCGCTGATTTGGGAGTGCGTAGCTGGGCACCGCTTCTCGTGGGGTGGCTCTGGGTTCCCGAACGGCCCCTCCTGCGACCCCCCGAGGGCTGCCCACAGGTGCAGCCCCTCCCCAGATGCTGGGCACCGGCACTCACGCCTTAGGGCCATGCCAGGCTCCGACAAKGCCAGAGCGGACGGAGCAGCTGGGTCACCCCATGCTGATAGGGATCAGGGCAAGGAGCCAGGAGATGGCAGTGACAGTGTTGGCACAGGTGAGCTCCTCCTGGCCACTTTTCCACCCTCAAACTCCCCTTGATTCCCCTCTCCCAGTTCTAGGGACTTTGCTCCTCCTAGGTTCTAGGGACTCTGGTGACCACCACCCTACTGAGATCAGACACTGCCCCAACCCCACTGACATTTCCAACACTCCGATCCTTCCCAACTCTCCCTGCTCCTCCTCCCCACCTCTCCTAGTCTTTCCTAATGACACTCCTGTCCCCTTCCAGCCCCCCACGTGCCACCAGAACCAGAGCCTGTGGCAGCAGCTGGCAGGCAGAGAGTGGTGACAACCGCAAGCATCCCCCGGTGAGACCAAAGGTTTCATTTGGCCTTGTCTGATCCATCCGTGGGTGCCCAACATTGGCCAACATGACCGTCTGCGATCAAGCCATTACGGGGGACTTGACCCGGGTTGTTGTCCAGCAGCGCCATGCCAGGGGAGGATGTGGAGCCAGGAGTTGAGCCCAGTGAGGAAGAAGAGGATGAGGACTTCGCCGAGGATGGTGACCTGGCCTATACCGATGACTCGCGTGATGAGAACTACCACCCGGCCGTGGACAGGTGCGAGCACTGGGCGAGAGCCCACAGATTGGGATCACGTGGGAGCCACTCCGTGGTGCCCACCAACGCTGTCCCAGTCCACATCGGTATTGCGCTGGGTTTTGGACGTCACGTCTCTGCCACATGCTTSTCCTGCTGCAACTGCCCTGGCAGAGGGAGGAGGTGGGAATAGTGTCTGTGTGGTGCTAAAGTAAGGTGTTTCTTGGGTCAAAGGGCACAGAATTTTGGGGAGGGATTTTCATTGTGTCTCACCYGGGGGAAAGTCCTTGCCACATCCAACTAACGTGCAGCCATGTTATACTGTGTCCACCCGTGTCCAACCCATGTCCTGACATGTCTGCTAACGTCCTTCCATGTATTAACACACCCAGACAACATTCAGCAATGTCTAAACATCCTTCCGTGGCCAAACAAATTCCTGCCATGTCCAGCCAAGTCTAACSCAAGCGCTTCCACAACCGACCCATATCCAGCTCATTTCCTCCAACCCATGTCTCGCCCCATCAATCACCCAGTCGTCCTCGGACCACCCCGGTCTCTGCCCCCTGTAGCAACTCAGAGCTACGGCAATGCCAGAGCCGACCCAAAGCCCACAAGAAACCAGTTGAGGAGGAGCAGTCCCAGCTCAACCCACCCCTACCCAGTTCTTGCCCCTCACAGGAAAACAGACAGATCGGGTGAGTCAGAGTGGCTGCAGCAGTGAAGGTATGAGGGGATGGGGGTCACTGTCTTGGAAATGTCCGACATCGTTGGCCGTGGGGCGAGAACTGTGTTTCCCCAAGGGGAATAAACCCTCCCGTGACAATGCTGGCCACAGGGCAAGAGCTGTGTTTCTCTAACGGGGGCAGGGGTCACTCCTCCCTGTGACACCATTGACTGCAGGTCACAGACACGGTTCTTGATCTGCATGTTGAATGAGCAAAGGTGGGTCTGGCTCACCGTCACTGCAGGGGTTTCGTGAACCTCATGTCACCCACCCAGTCCCTCCTGGGGCTGGTCCAGKATACTTAGGAAGCGTGGCTGGGGCTGCCGTGGAAAGGGATAAAGAGCCGTTGAACCAGAACTGTGGTAGGCATTGAAGCCTCCACCAGACTGAAGAATGAACAACCCAAAATCCATCAATCCCGCCACAAACTCCTCCGCCGATGAATCTGCGGCATCTCTAGCAGCTTTAGGCCTGACCGTTGGGTTTCCAGCTCCCCTTTCCAGACACACAAAACTCAATGTTTTGTGCTGAAAGAGCTSTAATCAGGCCTTGGGGCTTCGCTGGGGCTTTGCCTGAGCATTAAAGGGACATTTGGGTTGGGGGTTGGTCTGCGCGTGCCTTCAGATCCAACGCACCTACACACCTCACCTGGATGGATTTTCTTACACTTTTGAAACAAGGGGGTAAAATCCCCCTTTTCCTTGGAATCAGCCATAACTCGGTCTATCCCCTGAAAGATGGGCTCAGCACCAAACCCATCCCAAACCTTTTCCCAGGTGAGTGTTGTACGGCTCCCTTATGACTTTGATTGATCACTTTCCCCTCTGAGCAGCTCCTTTAAGGATGCTAAGCCCCTTGCTTCTCCTGGCAGCTCTGGAAACACCCCAGATGTGGCTGGAAGAGGGACCACCCTTCCTGGAGATCCAATCCRTGAAGGTAATGCTTGGAATTTGCTCTTCTCCCTGCCATCACTGGGCATGCAGATCCCAGGCTCCCAAATCTAATGCGAGGGTGGAACAGTCTGGGTTGAGTCTGGGCCATCCTTTGAGGCCAAAAGTGAATTAAGTGTGGGGTTTTCTGGAGTTTTCTGAGTTCTGCCTGATTTCCATCCCAAACCCCAGGGTCCAGCCCTCTAAATGTGTCCAGCGTTATACCCAGGGGCCAGTGGCTCTCCTGAGGCATCGGCAGGGTCTCGCAGCTCTGCACCCTTTCCCGAAAGCCAAGCCTAAGCTTCAGCTCRCTCCTTTTTGGGCTGAGTTTGGTGACACGGATCGTATTTTTAATTTTTTGGTTCATTTTTCCTCCTCTTTTGTCACAGCGAGTAGAAAATGGGAGATAGAATCCAGGCTTATGACGAAAGCAGGCAGGAGCTTCCAGATGTCAAGAGGCTTTTCCTCTTATCCCTCCCTCAGGTAAAGCCAGCCTGAGCTGATAAAACCTGTTTTAATTTAAGAGCTTTGGGACAAGCACCAGGCTGGATCTAGGCTTGGGCATTGGCATGTCTCACCATCCCATTATTTCTCCTCCCCAAACCCCACTTTAATCCACTTTGAATGGCTCTTTCCTTAATTCCAGGGCAACGGACAGGAATAGTTGCTGGTTCCAGGGAACTGTGGATGAATTAAAGATCAAACCAGGCTTGAAGCCAATTTCAGTGTCCTGGGACACATACAAAACCATGTGAAAAGGGTTTTGTAATGAACAATAAACAATTTATTCCTATTTTAATGCCCGAACAATGTGTTTGTTCCAGCGTGTCCTGCTCTAGTGGAGGAAAAATGGGAGAAATACAAGTCCCGAGGATGATTTCATTCGGGATTTGTGCAGGAATCTTTTGGTGTCTTCGCTGTGGGCGTGGGCACAACGAGGGGAAGCCAAGGCTTGGCTCAAATTACTCTTTCCCATTGCAGTTGCCAGCAGCAACCACAGGGAAGTGACGAGGACATCGCTCAGATCGGCCCCAAGAGGATCAGGTACCAGGAAAGAGGAGAAAAGGGGCCAGAGAAGCTTCCAGGGCATTCCTGGGAAGAGAAGCTCAGCTCTTCCATGGGGGGACAATCATGAGATTCTGAAAGGGACTATTTGCTTCATTTTAGATTTTATGGGTGGGAAAAAGGGAAGGTGGAAGAAGAAGATGGAGCAGGGGCCAGATGGATTTCCCACCATTTTTCCAACTCTTCTTTATGCCAGTTATTTTCCCCACATTTTGTCTGGCAGGAAGGCGGCAAAGCGTGAGATCCTCCTGTGCGACTTCGAGGGCTGTGGCAAAATCTTCTCCAACCGCCAGTACCTGAACGTGAGCACCCGGAGGGACCAGCTCTTCCCGGAGTGCTGGGGAGCCCGGGTGGAGTGTCCTGCAGCTGGAATCAGGAGCTAACATTTTTTTTTTTTCCCCTGGCAGCACCATCAGAAGTACCAGCATGTGCACCGGAAAACCTTCACCTGCTCTGAGCCCACCTGCGGGAAATCCTTCAACTTCAAGAAGCACCTGAAGGAGCACGAGAAGTTGCACAGTGGTGAGTGGGGCATTTCCACAGGTATCGTGCCTCCTCCTCTATGGATTACACTTCCCTGGACATCTTCCKGTAGGAGTTACAACTCCCCTGTATGGATCGTGGCTCCTCCCAAGGGGATTACACCTCCTGTACGGATTCCACCTGCCCCCRTCCGAGTCACACCTCCTTCCCCACTGGGCCAGGGCCACCCGTTCCCGAATCACCATCCGTAGGAGCTGTCACTGTTGCCCTGAGCTCCCCAAATCTCTCCCTGATCATCTSCGTTCCCATGCCGGAAAGTCTCCCTGCTCTCAAAGCGTGTCCTGAGGGCTGTTCCAGGCATGACAAACCCTGATGCCTTTTCCTTCGCTCCCAGACAAGCGGGATTACATCTGTGAGTTCTGTGCCCGCTCCTTCCGCACCAGCAGCAATTTGATCATCCACCGACGGATCCACACCGGGGAGAAGCCGCTCCAGTAAGTCCCAGTCCAATTGACATCTTTCCAGTAAGTCCTAGTCTCATCCCTGTGCTTCCAGTAAATACCAGTCCCATTCCCACCCCTCCAGTAAGTCCTACTCCCGTCCCTGCAACTCTGCTCAGCCTCRAAGCCTTTTCCCACCCTTTCCAACCCAAAACCAGCTCCTCAGCATGTGGCATCCAGCCAAAAGTCAGGCTGCGATTTCTCCYGAGGTTTGGAGAGCCCTTGGACCTGGCTGTGCCAAGATCCAGCAGCCCCAGGGCTGTGTTTAATTAGGAGCAGGTTAATCAGAAGGGACGTAATGAAGGACTCCTGTCCCAACGCGCTCATGCTAGGAGGCCGCTGGAACGTCATCGCACGGCACGTTCCAGCCCCGAGCGCAGCGGGGCCACTTCTGCCTGTGCCTCGTCCCAGAGGTTTCTTACGTCTGCCGGGATCTCCCCCAGGTGTGAGATCTGTGGCTTCACCTGCCGCCAGAAAGCMTCCCTGAACTGGCACATGAGGAAACACGATGCCGACTCATTCTACCAATTCCCGTGTGACATCTGCGGGAAGAGGTTCGAAAAGCGGGACAATGTCACCGCCCACAAGAGCAAGAGCCACCCTGAGGGACTTGGGGGACCCCCCAAGTCCGAGGGAATCCAGCGGTACCCAGAGCCCCCTGGGCCAATAGAACCTCTGGAGCTGATTGGGGACGTCCTGGAGAGCAGGGGGAACACAGGGAGGACCCCGCCGGAGTATCGGGGGAGGGACGGTGGGCACGATCCAGGAACATGCCAAGGCGAGGGAATGGGCGGTGGGGGGTCCTAGAGGGGCTCATCCCCCATTTGGGGACTGGAGCAGGATCGGGGACAGTGCTGGTCCCTGAAGCATCGCCGGGTGCCAATAATAAATGGGAGAAGCAAAACGGGGAAAAATTACAATTTTTGCTGCAAACCCTGGGCGAAATCCCATTTTCTCAGCCAAATCCCTGGGGAAAATCTCCAGTTTTTCTGCCAAATCCCAGCTTCCCTCRAGCCCAGCAATGTTGCCCCAGCTGGATCTTCAATAAAGACTTATTTTGGGTAAAAGTGGGATTTGGTGGCAGATTTCTATGGAGATACAAAAGTGAGATTTGGGTGTTTGGGCACAGGAAAAGGTGTTGGAGAGGGGCTGGAGACACCAAACACTCAGGAATTGGGGACCCCAACAGGGATGAGAGGGGCCTCCCAATGAGGGTATGCCCTCAAACTGGGAGCTTTCACTGCTCCAAACTTTTYCTTTAACCTTCCTTTAATTTCCATTTAAAACTCTGATTTTAACCAGAATTTGAACTTAAGAGACACTTGGAAGCTCCAAGCTGGGACCGTTCAGTGAACGCACAGTGCCCCGAACACCCCACTGTGCCCCATGCCAGCAGGCTGGGGACAAGAGCGTGTCCCTGTTTTCATTCCCTCCAGAGCAGCTTTTCCTCCTCCCCCCGAGCACCAAAAACTCCCAAAAATATCAGGTTTTAGGGTTTTTTTTGCACAGCAACTTTTATTTCCCCACTAACAGTGACAGGGCAAGGAACACAAACAGCGGGGGGGGTGGGGGGAGGACGAGGGGAGCGGGCAAGGGCAATATCACACCTAGAACAGGGACTCCCCCCGGCCTCCCAAAAGCCCACGGCAGACCCCAGCCTGGGTCTGGGGTGGCCCCAAATATCCATGTCCCCTTGCCAGGATCTCGATGCTCTGGGGGCTCAGAGTTTGCGGGAAGCAAGGGGGAGATGGGGGGATGAGGAGAGAAATGGGGGGGCAATGGGGGAGAGGAGACAGCGAGAAGGGAGGGGCTGATGGGGGGCCTAAGAGGGACGTGGAGGGCAATGGGGGAACTTGGGGCACAAGAACGTGGGGAAAAGGCAGGGAGGAGGGAGAGAAATGAGGGGGCAATAGGGGAGATGGGGTGGTCACTCAGCGACAGCAGGATGGGCTTGGCCCTTTCCCCAGGGGGGATGGGATGGCTAAAAGATGACCCACAAAGCAATGGTGTCCAAACTGGAGGGGCTGGGAGGAGACCCCTCCTTCCCCCATGGCATTTTAGGGGGGAGGAACAATGCAAAGCTTTGGCTACAGTTCAAGGTGGGATGGGATTGGCCTCTCCCTGTTACATGGGGCTCCAACTCTAACGAAAAACACAAAATGAACTGCAGGGGTGTTCAACCAGTAACTGGGAGGGGGTACTCAAGCAGCCCCCCTCACCCACACAATGCCCCCTGAGGAAGATTCTGGGGGTAAAAAGACTCCAAACTTTTAACTGCAACAGGAAAAAAAGGTCCCCCTGAATGACCAAGGGGAGGATTTGGGGCGTTTTGTTTGGAAGCCAAGGAAAACTTAAGGATGATGGGGGAGAGGGGAACAACACACAAGAGTGGGGCGGGCTCAATTGCAGAGGGACAGAGAGGAGCCCACGTAGAAGAGCCAGAAAAATGGGAAGATCCTCTCAGAGAAGGCGGCGGTGAAGGTGAAGATGGGAGCCATGTTGTCAGCGTTGTAGAACGCCACCCACCCGCCCTCATAGTCCAGGTACACCCCAATCTTGCGTGGCCGCTCACACAGGGACAGTGGTGTCTCGGGAGAGGTGAACGCCTGGTACTGATCCCAATTTTTGCCCTTCCAGTTGAGCCCCACCGCCCAAATTCCCTCCTCGGGGGCGAAGTCAACCTTCTCCTTGCGGCGCACAGACTCGCGAGCGGCTCCCAGCACCCAGCTCTCCCCATCTCCCACTTCCACTTCCCAGTAGTGGCGGCCGGCAGAGAAGCCCTCGGAGGCCAGGACGCAGAAGGCATAGTCGAAGCGTTTGGGATGAGCCGGCAGCTCCTGGGGGGCCCCGCGGAGCCGCACACTCCGCTTGTCCTCCGACAGCACCAGGTAGGGGTTGGCCGTGTCAGGGTCCAGGGAGAGATCGCCTGGAGAGGAAAAAGGGAGCAGTTACCTGGGTGATTAGTGGGCTCAACTCACCACCATGTCCCAAACTCACCAGGGAAGACAGAGATGAGTCARCTGTGGAATTCTGGTGGGACTGAGCTGTGGATTGCATCCCAAACCCAAGGGGGACAACACAGGTGAGTCACCTGTGGGATCAGTCACACCTGCTGTGTGAAGACCAACCCATGGTCTGTGTCCCAAGCTCAATGGGGACAACACAGGTGATTCACCACTGGGATCATTGTCCCACCTGCGTTGATCCATTGTCCGTGTCTCAAACCTGACAGGAAGGACGCAGGTGAGTCACCTGTAGCATCCTGAAGAGCCCACATGGAACCCAAGCCCAGCAATTCCAACCTTAACCCTTGGAAAAGGGAAGTCACACCCCMAAGACCAACCAATTCCATGCAAACCCTTGGAAAATGGAGGTCACGGCCTCAAATCCCAGTCAGTTCTGTGCAAACCCCCGAAAAAGGGGGGGTCTCATTCCAATCCCAACAGCCTCACCTGTGTCGTTCTCCAGCTCAAAGCGCAGGTTCTCTGCGGGAAGAGAAGGAAGCGGTTGAGCCCTTGGAGCCTCCGGAACTGCCCAAGCCACAGGAACGATCCCTGCTCCACATTTCCACACTCAAATCCCAGGAAAATCACCACTTTGCCACCTTTTCCCTGGGATGAGCCAAGGCTCCAACAGCTCAGAGCTCTCCCAGTCTGCCCAGGGAGGAATAAGAGCCTGGCTCCATCCCAGCCCTGATCTTGGGGGACTTCCATGTGGGATCCTGGCTGGGAAGCAGGGATTCTTTCCAGGAACGCTCTTGCCAAGCTCACCCTTGAATTCCAGCAACACTTCCTTGAGCACTGCACTCTTCTGGGAAAAGCTCTTCAGCTTCTTCTCCAGCTCAGAAAAGCCGGGCTCAGGCTTGAGGAATATCCAGCTCTCCAGGCTGTGGAGACATGGGAGTCAGGGACCCAAAATCAGAGAATTTCCCCCTGGGAAGGGCTGGGAATGCCAGCTCTGCCTGCAGCCAGAGCCTCCCAGTTCACTCACCTGCTCCCAGCCGGGATGACACCCTGCAGGRGGAAAAAAACCCAAAGCAATTTGTTAGAAGCGGCCTTTCTCCTACCTCAGAGATCTCAAAATCCTCCCCAAAAATGGGAAGAATCCCACAAAGGGACTTTGATCCCCATAAAGACATTTTTGTTTCCATAAATGGAATTTCTGACCCCATTACAAGTATTTTTTTCCCCAAGAAATGGAAATACTTTGCCCCATACATGGAAATTCTTGCCCACATAAACAGAACCTTTTTCAACCTTTTTTACCCCATAAACAGCATTTTTTTGTCACCCCCACAAATGAAATTTCCACCCCCATAAACAGGTTTTGTCCTCATCATTAGGATAYTTTTGCCCAATACAAGGGATTTCTGTGTCCATAAACAGGATTTTTTTTGCATGGAGACAAAACAGGAGTCCCACCTCGCCAGGTGTGTTCCCTGTCCCACCGTCCCCGCCCTGCTCTGCCAGGAGCTTGTCCAGCTGGGCAATGTCCTCAGCCAGCCGGGCTACACTCTCGTCCCTTCGGCGCCCGATGTCCCTCTCTAGCTCTTCCAGCCGGGAGAGCAGGAGCTGCTCCTTCTCCTCCAGGAACGCCCGCAGCTCCTTGCACTCAGCCACAATCTTCTGCCGCTCCACCTCTGTCTGCTTCTGCAATTCCACAGGGAAGATCCCTGTGAGGGTGGATCCCTGTGGCCATGGAGCTCAGGGTATCATCCCCATGAGAGACAGAATTTCTGGAGGCTGGGATTCCCACAGGGAGGGGGAACCCCCCAAGGTGGGACCAAATTCCCACAGCCAGGGAAGTCCCAGGTGAGGCGGGATCCTCATGGATGGGGGGCTCAGGGAACCMCCAAGTGAGGTGGATCCTCATGGATGGGTGCTCTGGGATCCCCAGCACTCACCAGCAGCTCCTCGCTCTGCCGCTCCCGCTCGGCCTTGGCCTCTTCACGTCCTTTCCTCAGGGAGCTCAAGTGCTCCTGGGGCACCTCCTGGAAGCAGAACCAAGAGATTCATTGGGAATTCTTCCCATGGGCAATCGGAAGCGAAGGGCTGCCACTGCTAACATGGCCAAATTCACCCAGTCTGGAACTTTATTGCAGCTGGAACCAGCAGCTGCCCTGCTCCCCTCAACTCTGACCTCAGACTGTGCCAAAAACTCCAGAATTCACACAACCAGCCCAAAAACTCCAAAAAAAAGGCCCCAATCAATTAAAGTCAATTTGAGCTGCCCATCACAAAACAAATGCCCACCCCGTCCTCCTCCTGAGATTACCTCCCACATTCGCCCTCCTCAAGGTGCCTCAGAATCAGGATAGATTTTCTTCTGCCTCACCCCCCACCAGAAGAGCAACCGCTGCCTCCAAACTGCTCATTAAATTAATAATTAATTATTTAAACTCATCCTCATTTACATAGCTTGACCTCCATGGAGAGCAGAAAAGCCTCAGCAACACCCTGCAAACAGCAGCTGGGCTTGGGGGCAAATAAATCCAATGATTTTATAACTAAAACATAAAATACAAGGATTTTGACTGTTAAGTGCCAGGAGTTGCTGCCTTTGGAATTTATCTACGAGATTAAAGCAAATATCAGGAAAAAGCTAATGACAACCAATTATTAAAAACTCATAAGAATAGGTTAACAAGGGGGAAAAAAATCCCAAGGAGCAACAGCCTGGATCTGCCTAAGAACATTTGCATCCTATAATAAAGGGCAAACTCCCAGATTTGGGAGGACAGCACCAGCATCCCTGGAAGAGGAACTGCGGCAGTTCCGAGAAAAATCCCCCTACAAGAATTTAATAACAACAGTATTATGTGGTGGGATGTGGTGGTTAATGATCCCACAATCCCCTTCCCCAATCCCTCGAGATCATGCTGGTGCCACCCTACTCCTGCTGCCACTGCGCAGCGACATCGCCTCCGTCCGTCATCTTGGATCCCTCTGGATCCGCTGCTCCCGCCTCGAGCAGCTAGGCCTGGCTGCCCACACCGAGCCCTTGCGCCCTTCGTTAGTGATTGTTCCCCACTATGATCACGAAACGCCCCATATCGCGACATGGGGRAGCCTCAGCGCCGCCTGGGAGGGCTCCATTTTCGCTCTGCGTCACTCCTCAAGCGCCCTCGGGTTGGGGGTGGGGGGAGGACAGGCGGCTCCCGGGGCGGGGGTCCTACACCACTTCCAGCCTAGATCGGGATCAGGACGGAGAGGATAGATAACTCCCTGTTCCCCGCCCCATACCCAGCCTACAGTTCGTTCCTGCCCCAGGAAGGGGGAGCAACAGATTTTGGAGAGTTGGTGGGATTTCGCACTATCACCCCCGCACTGAGGTGCCCCGCCCAGGACGCCCCTTTCCCAGTATCCTCCCAGTCCAAGCCAGTTCGATCTCTCAAAACCCACCACGGGGTGGGTTTTGGGGTGATTCAGTTCCTTCTGCACCCCGAATCCTGGGAGCTGCGCCCGCTACGGGAGAGAATCTCCCGTGAGATCCACACAGCCTGCGGGGGCCCTCACTGCCCCCCAACAGCCCCAGATCAAGGGGAGAATATGTCAGCGGGGTCCCGACTGCACCCCACACATGYGGGAGACTGGGGGCTCATTTCTGTACTCCCCTGTGGAATTGGGGGTTCCCACTGCACCCAAAGGGCGATTCTCCCCATGGAGGGGAAGTCCCTGGCGCACCCTCACCCCGTGACATCTCCTTGTGCACCCTCAGTCAGGGGTGGAGGTGTTTCCGATGCTCTCCCCGCTTACTGCTTCCCCCATTTCTTGGGTGAATCCTGCACCCCAAAACGTACCCCGTGAGGGGGCGGGGTCTTCACTGCCCCCCAACAGCACGGGGGGGTTCACAGTGCTCTCCCCATAGGGGGAAGSGGTCCCGATGCCCCACCGCCCCCTCGGGAGGGGAGTCCTCGCTATTCTCCCTCCATGCCGGGCCCTGTGCAGCGCGGTGTGGGAGGGGTGGTCTTGACACTGACCTCCGCGGCGTGGGCCGCCTCCTCGGCGGGCAGCACGGTGTGGGCGCGGTGCTCGCGGGACAGGTGACACACGACACACACGGCCCGCCGGTCCTGTACGCAGTAGAGCCGCAGCGGCTCCCCGTGGCGCGGGCAGCGCGGCGGTCCCGGCGGGCCAGACGGGGCGGACGCGGGCAGCGGCGGCGCGGGCGCGGGCGGCCCCGGCGGCGGCTCGGCGGGCCCCGGCGGCAGCCCCAGCTGGCGAACGATGTGCACGATGTTGCCGAGGGAGCGGTTGGGGCGGAAGAGGCGCTGCGGGACCGGCTCGCGGCACTGCGGGCAACAGAGGCGCCGCGCCGAGTCCTCCCAGCACTGGGTCACGCAGGCGCGGCAGAAGTTGTGCCCGCACTCGGCCACCAGCACCGGATCGTTGAAGTACTCTAGGCACACGGGGCACGTCAGCTCGTCCTGCAGGCTCCGCGCCGCGCTGCAGGACGCGGGGGGCGCGGCGGGGGGCGCGGGCGGCGCCTCCATGGCGGCCGCGGCACCGGTGGCGGCCCCGGTCGTGGCGCCGGTGACGGCAGCGACTTCCCGAACCGTGCACGTCCGCTCCGCGCGGCACCGCCGCCCGACTGACGGCCGAGGAGGAGCGCTGCGCCTGCGCGGGGGAAGGAGAGGGGCGCGGTTTGCGCCGCGCGGAACGGAGGCTGGGCGTGCTCGGCGCTGCTCGGGGACAGAATGGGCGTGGTGATGGAGCGCCAAGCGGGTGGGCGGGAGAGGCGCTGAGGGGGCCGTAGCTGTGGGWGCGCAGGAAAAGACGGGGCCCGCAGGTCGCGTGGAGCGCGGCAAGGGCCTGGAGGGCACTGTGGGCGGGGTAGGGGAGCTCTATAGGATTTGAGAAGGTTTAGCGGAGTCTATGGGGTACAGGGAGAGGAAAGGATACACCTACAGGCTGCTCGGACGCGGGAACTCCTTGAAGGGTGCAGGGGGAGGTTGCATGTCTTAGTCCCCGTAGAATAGGTGAGGGGTATCGAATATTTTTTTCGAGTCCGTCCCTTTAGGATTCGGGGGTTTCTAGAATGGTTTTTGGGGGACCCTGTAGGATTAGGGTGGATGTATCACAGTCTACAGGATGGCTTTGGGGAATTCATATGAGATTGAGGGGCTTTACCGGGGTCTGTACATTGTGTTTTGGGGTCGCTTTAGGGATGGGGCGGGGCAGGGGTTAAGGGGGTCCATAGGGTTGCTGGGAGGGGGGCGGTCCCTATAGGTTTTAGGAAGATCCCAGATCCCTGATAGTAAGGAGGGGATGCAGAGGGCCCTATGGTTGTTTTGCGGTTCTTTATAGGACGTTGGGGGCTTTCTGGCATGAGGAGGCGAGAGTGGAGAGGTTTCGGGGTGGCTTTCACAGCATCAGCCTCTCTGTCATGTCACCACGAGTGTCACAGATCTGCTCCAGAAACCTGAATTCAGGAAAAAATTACTCAAAACCTCAAGACGTACAAAAACTACCCCAAAACCGCCTTGCGCCCGCTCGTCTGCCCTTTCCAAGGGGATTTAGGGATATAAATCCCTGCTGGGAGCATCCCTCCTGCATGAGACAGATGGAACAGGAAGCAGCAGCACCATTTCCCTGCTTTTCTTTAGGTTTCGTCACTGCCTGTCATGAGATTGTCTTTGGGGAAGAAATACTTTGTTACCATAGGGTCGGGGAGGGCAGAAATTGGGGTGAAAACTGTTCAATTTGGGGTCAGAGCGGATCTGCCCTCTTCTGAAATGGCCGCTTCGCCTTCAGGCAGGACGCGAAGGAAAATGGCCGCGACCACCTCCTCCCCATTGCTGCCCGGGGGGCCCGACTCAAGATGGCGCCTGCGGCTGAAGCCTTGGGCGCCATCTTGGGTGAGGGCAGCCAGCCGCGCGGCCTGTCGGGAGGCAAAGCCGTTAGCCGTGCGGGGGGATGGGGGAGGAACGATGTGCTCCAAAATGCTCATCGGGTCTAAGCACTTTGCGGGAGAGCTCCTTGGTGTCGCGACGTGTCCCCCTTGACAAAAAACTTCCCTATTAACCCCCAATTCCGCCCCTTTCCCTGCTGTGAAAGGTCGCGGCAGCCGCCGCGTTGGGCGGGTCCTTATAGCCCCGCAGCCCCTTTCCCTCAGCGTACACTACTTAAAACACCCCCAGTACCTCCCCCTGCTCCAAATTTAGAGGGGCGTTGCCCCAAACTTAGGGGGTTTTGCCCCAAAAGGATCCTTGATGTGTTTAGCACCAATACATTTTTGGGGGTCACTCTCCGAGCCCCACAAGCAAAACTACTCTGGGGCTCATCCCCATCCCCACAGAGGGGCAGGAGAACCACAAAACCACTTTTTTTCCTCACATTTTCAGGAAGAAAACAGCCCACCATGACATTAAAGTGCATTTTTTTTTTTTCACTGTGAAAAGTGTTGGGGTTTTTTTTTCTTTTTTTTTTTTTTTAATTTCCGCCCAGACCCACGGCTCTTGCCGCCAGAGGGCCCCGGCCATTGTGCGCAGCCCTTATCTCCCTCTTTTTCCCCCTCTCTTTTTTTYCCATTTTTTAAAAAATTCCTCTTTTCTTCCTACCTTTTATAAAACTCTTAACGCTTAGGATATTGGAGGTACTCTTCTCCTCCCCACGTGCGCTTCCCCACTTTTGGGGAGAAAAGGGGCTRTTTTGGGAAAAAGGCGGGGGGGCCCTTACCGACATCACCTCCCGAGCCGGACCTGCAGGTAACGGGGGATTCGGGTTGGGATGTGGAAAAAAAGGTAGAAAATGGCTTGGTTTTCCCCATCCCCGTCCTTCCCTCCTCCATCCTCCCCTCAGGGTCCTGAATTTTGCCTCCTTCAGTCCCAGGGAAGGGGGAAAATGATACAAAAAACCCCAACGCCTCCTCCATCCCCCCTCCCTTCCCCCCGGCCAAAATCCACCCCGTTGTCTTTCTCCCCTCGGTGGGTTCCTGTTGGACGTGTCGACCCCTTTGTTTCCATTTATTTTATTTCAGCAGAATGGCAAAACACCGATGAATCAATGAAGCAGGATGAAGTGCTGGTGGGGGCTCCAAAATACATAAAAATAAAGGGAAAAGTAGCAGGAGGGATCTGTGCTGGAAATCGGTCATTTATTCCCGGCATCAGTAAGTTATTCAGAACCTGCAAACCTACCCTTTTCCAAACCTGTTCGCCAGGAATAATAATAAATGAACAAAAATGAAATTAATAAGTGGGATCCTTATCCACCYGCTGCTCCCCGAGAAGGATGAGGAACAGTGGGGGGAGCAATGGGAATTTGCATTTCCATGATTTTCGAAAAGGGAAGCATCAAATGCTCTTCCTACCGCTGGGGAAAAAGACTGGTTTTCCCTCTAAGGCTCAGGGGATAATGGGGAAATAATGGGGCGATTTCTCCATTTTGGGCACGAGGAATGATTTCTGGGAGGGTGAGGGGGGGTGAGGATGATATGGAAAATTTGAGACGTGATTCTCTGTGAAACAGATTCCTACACTCTGGGGATGAGCACCCAGTGTTTGGTGTGTTGGGAGTGAACTGTGTTGGTAAAATTTGAGTGAAAATGAATTTTAGGGTCTGGATCTCTCAGCAGAGCCTTGTCTGCAGGTGACAGAAACTTGTTCTTCCTGGGATGGACTTTTTGCCTTTTCAATTATTTTTTAAGGAATCTTTGTATTTCTGTTTTCCCTTTCTACTTTTTTCTGCCTGTTATTTTTTACAACAAAAGAAAGTTCCTCAGGCAGTAGGGGCAAAAGGTGAGAATTTCCTGCAGGATTGTGGGGGGAAGGATGGAAGGGTTTGTTCACTGCCCATCCCACACCATGATCCAGTTTGGCCTTCCCACTGGCTTTTTAGGGAATAATTATCCATTAAATTTTCAGTGCCTAATCCTCCATTCTGGGTTCCCAGAGCCTGGTCATGGAGCCCTATGTGGTGCTGGACCCACGACAGAGAGCTCTCTATCGCGACGTGATGCAGGAGAGCTACGAGACGCTGATGGCACTGGGTGAGAAGCCCCACCCCTTCCCAGCAGAAAATTTGGGCTTGGGAGGGATGATCCCACCTTGTTGGGATGCAAGTGGTGCAGGGCAAGGCAGCACCTGCAAACCCCCCTTTTCCCAACCGGACCTTCAGGAATAATAATAAATTAATGATTGGGATCTTCACCCACCCACTGCTCCCTAAGGAGGATGCGGAAAGGCAGGGGGAGCAGTAGGAATCAACTTTTTCTTTTTTTTTTTTTTTTTTTTTTTTTTTTCTCATAGAGGAAAGCACTAAACCTTCTTCCTACAGTTAGGAAAACTCTGGTTTTCCCCACAAACTCAAGCTCTGGGGATGACAAATTCTGTTTTCCAGAATTTCCCGTTTCCAAGCCCGACCTGCTGTCCCGCCTGGACCATGGGGAGGAAGCAACAGCCCTGGATCTCCACATATCCCGGGATACCCCTGCTGCAGGTGAGGCTCCGATCCTGCTCCTGTACATGCGGTAGGGGTTTTTCTGCTGTCCATTCCTCCCTAAAACAGGTGGAGTGAAAAGGAGAAGGGTTCCCCCTTCACTTTCCTTTTCCCACCACCTTTTCATGTTCCCAGCCCTGGAATTACCCAACAATTTGTATCTATTGAAAAATGAGCCTGTGGAGCAGTGTGGAAAATTGTTGAGGAGGGATTTAATCCATTAAATAGGTAATGGGTGATGGGCAAACTCAGGGTTAGAAAAACAGATTAAAAATTTAGCACACTGCTCTCAGACCTGGAGGAGGAACTTTCTCCTGGAGTTTGTGGAGATGCTCCTGAACATCCTCCAGGAAGTTCCTCCTGGAGCAGGAACTTAACAAAACCTGGCAGAGCAATTTGTTGTTGACGCCAGGAATGCAGAATGTATGAAATACAAAAACACCCCRCATAAACCACAGATGCCCGTTCTGGGAAAAAAGGTCATAAAAAGGCAGAAAATGTAGACAATCGGTGTGAGAAGCGAGAAATCAATAACCAATAGAAGGTAGAATGTTAATAGATTAGGAGAACTATATAACTTGCAAGGCAGTGAGCGCCAATTCCTTTTTTTGCTAAAATATATAACTATTTCAAAGTTTAGATTTTTTTGGGGGAGTGATCCCAGAGTACCTTCAGCATTGAACAAAGGAATGTCAAATAAAGGAATGTTTCCAACTCAATTTGGGAGTTTATTTCTCATTCTTCCATTCTATCCGGCTATCTCTGCCCACAGAGCACAGAGCAGGAGCAGGGCATGAACTGTCTCAGGAAGAACGTGCTGAGGAAAAGCCCAACGTGGACAAGGAGCACCCTCAGCTCACCGTGAGCCGGAGTGAGAGCCACACTGGCAACACCTGCAGCGAGTGTGGGAAGACCTTCAGCCACAAATCGGCCCTGGTGAAGCACCAGAAAATTCACAGTGGAGACCGCCCACATGCATGTCCCGATTGTGGGAAGGGCTTCATCCAGCGCTCCGACCTCACCATCCACCGGCGCGTGCACACGGGCGAGCGGCCCTACGGCTGTCCTGAGTGCGGGCGCCGCTTCAGCGTCAGCTCATCGCTGCTCACACACCGGCGCACGCACGCGCCCGGCGCCGTCCATCCCAACCGCTGCCCCCAGTGTGGCCGCAGCTTTGCCGACGCCGCAGCGCTGGCCCGGCACCAGAAGAGCCACCTGGGTGGGAAGCCCTTTGAGTGTGGCGTGTGCAGGAAGGCCTTCGCCTGGAGCTCCCACCTGGAGCGGCACCGCCGCATCCACACTGGCGAGAAGCCCTTTCGGTGCACCGAGTGTGGGCGGGCCTTCGCTTGGAGCTCCCACCTGGACCGTCACATGCGCACCCATGTCAGCACAGTCACCGCCGGGGATGAGGAGGGTGTGGAGGCAGAAGAGGAGCCACTGCCGGCTCCGCGGAAATGCACCGACTGCGGGAAGCGCCTCAACCACCAGACAGACCCGCAGCGCTTCAAGCACAAGGCCACGCAGACCCCGCTGGCTGGTGCCGGTGCCAATACCGTGCCACAGTCCCACCGCTGCGAGCAGTGCGGGAAGTACTTCAGCCACAGGTCGGGGCTGCTCAAGCACCRACACGTGCACAGTGCTGAGCGGCCGTACCCCTGCTCAGACTGCCCACGCAGCTTCCGCTGCAGCGTGGCCCTGGCCAAGCACCGGCACAGCCACGTGCAGCCACCCGACAAYGCTGACAATGCCACGCTGGCCACAGAGGAAGCTGCCAAACCATACCCATGTGGGGCGTGCGGGAAGAGCTTCGGGTGGGTGTCACACCTGGAGCGGCACCGCCGCGTGCACACCGGGGAGAAGCCGTTCCGCTGTGGGGAGTGCGGACGTGGCTTCACTGTGAGCTCCCATCTGGAGCGGCACCGGCGGGTGCACACGGGTGAGCGGCCCTTCCGCTGCGGTGACTGCGGTAAGAGCTTCGCCGTCAGCTCCACGCTGCTGGYGCACCGGCGCACCCATGGCACCAAGCCAGGCCAACCCCACGCCTGCCCCGAGTGCGGGAAGGGCTTCGGCTCACTGGCCGGGCTGGAGCGGCATCAGCGGCTGCACCGCGGCGAGCAGCCATACCAGTGCGGGCTCTGCGGRAAGGGCTTTTCCTGGATTTCCCACTACGACCGACACCGGCTCACACACACCGGGGAGAAGCCCTTCCCTTGCGCCCACTGTGGAAAGCGCTTTGGCCGCAGCTCCCATCGCAACCGGCACCAACGTGCCCACACCCAGCACAGCCCCCAGAAGCACCACGTGTGCCCCAGTTGCGGCAAAGGCTTCAGCCTCAGTACGGCCCTAGCAGCCCATCAGCGCCTGCACAGCGTCGGTGCCCGCGGCCCCCTGTCCCTGCTGCCACCTGAGTGGTGGGAGGGTGAACCAGGGGGCTCGGTCACACCCCCTGAGCTCTGGCCTGAGGAGCCCCGCTCTGCTTYCCAGCAGCAGCCCGTGCCTTCCTCTTCTGCAGCACCCGAGGGCTGGGCAGCCAAAGCTCACCTGCTCCTCCCTGGTGCGTGGAGGCCTGGGAAGGGGGACACTCTGCAAAGCGACGCTGCAGCCCCTCCAGAGCCTCGGGTATCCGTTGCTCCTCCCAGCTCCTAAGGTGGGGCCGGATGGAGTCCCCCTCCACTTTCGGGGACAACCCATGGCTGAGATGGGAGGGTGGTCTGTGCACCCACCCCAGGATGGGAAAGGGCTTGGGGGGCACAGGATACCCCGGAATGAGGGTCAGGGTGCCAGAGGGGGGTGAAGCGGTGGGGAGGGGGYACGGGGAGGGGCAGCTGTGTCTGCCAAGGGGGTTTTGTGGGGAAACGGGGACAGGAGGGATGTGGGAGGCTGAGGGTGAATTTAGGGAGAGGCCTGTGATCATTCAGGGTGGTGGGGGGAGATGCTTTTCCCTATAATCCTCCCCACTGTTAGGGAGGGTATAAGCAGGGGGACACAACTTGGGTGAGTGGCAGGGTGAAACCACACAGGGAATCCCCTTCCCCAGGGATTTTTGGAGGCAGATGGCTCAGAAAAGAGCCCTGGGGACGTGTACCCATCACAGCACTGCTGGGATCCCCCCAGACTCTGCGGGAGATGCTCCTAGGGCAGGTTGGGATACATGAAGATGTGAATGCTGGAGAAGCCAGACTAGGTTTCCTGGGCTTGGAGTGACAGTTAATAAAGTAGAAGGTAGTTGAGCCAAAAAGCAAAACCCTTCCATCTGTGTCTGTGTGGTTTTGTCTCTGGGGAAGAGGATGGTGCTCACGGGGTTTCCTGCCTGGGGCAGGAAAAGCATCGGAGCACAGGGTTGAAATACAAGGAGACACAGGTGTCCATGAGGTGCAGGGCTCCCAGTTTATTCCTGCCCTGTTTATTCCTGCCCTGTGCCAGCATCTCCTGCCGCACCCTGAGCATCCCGCCCCCTCCATCCCCTTCTCCCACCCGCTTGACAGCACAAAGTGGGCAGAATACCATTGGATTTTYGCATCAGAACCAGCCCTCATATCCCCACCCCTCCCTGATGGAGCCAAGTACTGTTTCCTTCAGGAATAGGCTCCTTCTCCCCACAGGTTGTTCCTTTTCTGGCATCTGGACTGCAGCAGGTGCAATGTTTACCCACTGCTGCAGTGTGACACCAGGGCAGATAAATCCCCCCCAGTGCCACGATGGAGCACCCCTGTCCCCCACCCCAGTGCCCTACAAATGTCACTTGATGTCCTTTGACTTGTCCCCAAGACAAGTTTTCCCTCAGTCCTCTCTCTGCATCTGTTGTACCGAGCGGGGTCTTAGTCCTCAGGGCTCCTCACCGCTGTGAGCTCCAGGTGTGTCCCCACCGAGCCGTGTCCTGGCAAGGGGTGATGGCCCTGTGGCCTTGGGGAGGTGGCTGCGGCGGTGCTTGGCRAGGTGCGAGCGCTGGCTGAAAGCCTCACCGCACTCGGGGCACTCGAAGGGCTTCTCGCCGGTGTGAACACGGCGATGCCGCTCCAGGTGGGACGCCCAGGCAAAGCCCTTCCCACAGTCGCCGCAGGTGTATCTCTTGTGCACAGCATGGCCACGCTGGTGTTCCAGGAACGGGGGGGCTTCCCCAAAGTGCTTCCCACAGTCACCGCACTTGTACGGCCTCTCTGGCGAGTGGGTCTTGCGGTGCTGCAGCAGATGAGCCTTCTGGGCAAAGCGCACACCACAGCTGCCGCAGGGGAAGGGCCGCTCGCCCGTGTGCACGCGCCGGTGCCGCTCCAGATGGGATGCCCACACAAAGCCCTTCCCACAGTCGGCGCAGCGGTGCGAGTGCTCCCGGCGGTGGCACCGCTGGTGCCGTGCCAGTGCCGGCCCAGCCCGGAACAGCTTCCCACAGTCCCCGCAGCGCAGGGGCTTCCTGCCCAGGTGTGTGCGGCGGTGCCGTGCCAGGTCGGAGCTCTGGCAGAAGGTCTTCCCACAGGTCGGGCAGCGGTGCGGCCGCTCGCCCGTGTGGCTGCGGCGGTGCTTGGCGAGGTGCGAGCCCTGGCTGAAAGCCTCACCGCACTCGGTGCACTCAAAGGGCTTCTCGCCGGTGTGGACGCGGCGGTGCCGTTCCAGGTGCGATGCCCACACAAAGCCCTTCCCACAGTCCCCGCACTTGTGGGGTTTGTCGGCGGTGTGGCCACGGCCGTGGGCCGCCAGCTCAGCCGCACCGGCAAAGCGCTTCCCGCAGTCACCGCACTTGTGCGGGCGGTCACTGGTGTGGGTGCGGCGGTGCTGCAGCAGGTGTGAGCTCTGGCTGTAGGTCTCGCCGCACTCGGGGCAGCTGAAGGGCCGCTCGCCTGTGTGGACGCGCCGGTGCCGCTCCAGGTGTGATGCCCACGGGAAGCTCTTCCCGCAGTCGGCACAGGCAAAGGGCCGCTCCCGGGCCGGTCCTTTGCCACGCAGAGGTTTGGCACAGCTGAGTTTGGGGAGCGTGGTGGGTTTAGGGGTCCCAGAGGACACAGCTTTGTCTGGGCGCTTTGCTTTACGCCTGTTGGAGCCGAGGGGCTTCTCCCGCTCCAGGCTGCGGCATGGGTGTGGTCCAAGCCCGGCACTGCTCTCCAATTCTCTATTCTCCGCTGCTTTTTCATTCACCAGCCCCTGAGCTGCTGGGAAAGGGGAGAGACAGGAAAAGGTGAAAGCATGAGTAGTAGCATTTAAAACAATGGAGCAGCAACAGGATTCTCCTTAAAAATTTTGCTTTCTCACATCCCCTGAGCTCCTGGGAAATGGGAGAAGGAAGGAAAGGGGAGGGCATGGCCCTGATTGGAGCAGGAGTGGAATTTAAAACAATGGGGCAGCAATAGGATTTCCCTTATAATTCCTGTTCTCCCAGAGACAGGGACCTGATCCTGGTTTGAACTGGGAATGTGGAGATGCCAAGGACACTCCTGTGCCAGGATTTTCAATTTAAATTAGGAGATACTATATAACATTATCCTGCAGAAAAAGAATAAAGGAGAGGGCTGGGGTTTGGGGAAATCCCCCTGGAAACCTGCCTGAATGCCTCTGCCCCTCTTCCCAAACTGCTCTGCTAGGAGCAAGGAAAAGATAGGGGGATATACAACAGGGTAAGAGAGATTTTTTGGGTGTCCTTACCCAGGGACATGAGGGTCTCGTAGCTCTCGTGCATCACGTCACGGTACAGGGCCTTCTGCCGCGGATCCAGCAGCACCCAAGGCTCCATGGCAGGAGGGAGCACCGGACAATGCAGATTCCTCCCACCGGGCTCCCCAAAATGCCCTGAAAGGAGGACAAATCCCTTGAAATCGAGGAATTCCCCACACAGCGCTTCCTGCTCGGGCTTTGATCCTTTTCCCGTGGTCACTTCGAGGAATGTCGGGTTTTCCCAGTCCCTCCATACAGGACTATTTTGAGCGTCCCCGAAGTAACGCGGGAACAGCCGGGCAGGAGGGTGCCTGCTTTTCCCCCCGCCTTTCTTGCAGACCCCATCCCACAGGAATCCGTGCCTCCCGGTTCCCCCGCTCCCCATCCCACCGGGAATCAGTAATGGGGCCCGGTGACTGTATCCTAGGAGCATGCCCATCCTTGCGGAGCCCAGGGCTCCCTCTCCATCCTGCCTATGCCTTGTCCTCTCCCCAAAGGAGCTGCGCCTTCCGGGAGCAATCCCCCTGCTGTCTCCGGCCCCGCTGGGAGCAGAACCACATCCCTGCTCCTGTTTCCCCCCGTTACCTGCCGTCCCCGGCCCCTCGGCTGCCGGCCGAGCCTGCAGCTGCTTCCACGGGGCTTTTCCTTAGAAGCAGCGTCCTCCCTTCACACGCTGAACCGGCAGGGAGGAGGCGATGCCCAGACACCCCCTTGCACCCCCAGCACCAGAAAGCCTCCCGCAGCAGGACACAATGGAGGCGATGCCGGGCATAGCTCCGCTCCGGAAGCCCAAGCCGGTATCCGGGAGGAAGCGGAGAGGCCAAGAACCGGCTCCGCTTACCCGGAGCCCTCTAGAGGCAGCGGAATCCCGGAGCCCTCCCCGCACCGCCCGCGGGCCCTTTGGAGCCGTGGGAGCAGACGGGACACCCCCATGCCCCCGCCCTGTCACCCGCCGTGTCGGGTGTCCCCCCGTGGGTATCCAGAGGGTTTGAGGAGCCCCGACCGTGCTGGAAGCTCTGCCAGGGAGGTTGGGATAGCAGGAGCAGGGATACATCGAGTGTTGGGAACGTGGAAAGGTCGTGCTGGGATCCCCTCCGGGTGAGAGAGGGGACACTGCTGGTGCCCTATCACCAGCGGGCAAGAAGAAATTCGCGTTTTACACCTGGAAAACGGGCCCTAATTGAGTTTCCTTGGTGAAAACAGGTTGTCCCCGCCGCAAAACAAACAAACAAACAAAACAAAAAACAAACAAAAAAAAAACCAACAAAAAAAACCCAAACAAACAAAAAAACAACCAATCCTCTAGGTGAGCTGCTTATAACAACCCTAGGAATAAAAATGGTAGGATAAATAGCCCTAAAACCCCAGGCTGGGGCAGGAGGAACCCCCAGATCCTCAGGGTCCCCAAAGGGCTCCRGCAGCCACCAGGGAGCAATTGCAGGGACCAGCAGCTCCAGATTTCCTCTTCCGATCACCCCACACCACTTTGGATAGAAAACAGCTTGGGAAGAGGTTTATTGCTGGGAAAACTAAATAAAATTGGGAAAGGGGGGCTGCAAAGGAAGCAGGAAAACCTAGATGCTGGGAAGATGGATCCTTGAGGATGGGGAGGGTGGAAAAGGTCTCTGGCAGTGTCAGGAAGGCTGAGTGGTCTAAGACACCAGATTTAAGTGCCTGCTTTCCCTGCTTGGGGAATTTTGGTCTCCAAATGGAGGCGTGGATTCAAGTCCGACTTCTGACATACATTTTTCCTAAAAACTATTTTTTAAAATATAGTTTTTTTGTCCTTTTTTTGTTTCCCTATCCCTGATCATTATTTGTCCCCATCATATCCACTCTCGTCAAACACTGGAAGCCCCAGTAAKGTCACCCCAATAAGGAGCCTTCAGTTCTCCAGGTGAAACCCAACTTCCTCWGCCTGGGACCGTCTCTGTGGCCTCCTCTGGACTATCTCCATCAACTCCATGCCCTTYCTATGAGGATAACCCCAATTTTGAACAGTTTCATCCAAGAAATTCCTCCCTGGTGCATTCATTTCTTCAATAATGCCCCCAAAAGTTTTGCCTCATGAGTCACATGAGTACATGCAACAGGTGTAGCCTGAAAATCCTCTGGATGAGCAGGAAGTGAAGGACGAGATAACCCTTTGAAAGGCATCTTTCCTCAACAGGACCTGCCTGTGCCTCTCCAACCTGTGCCTGCCAGCCCAGAGACTCATTAAGGCTAATTACCTCGTTAATAAATCCACCCAGGCTTTTCCCGCCCTGTGCTCTACCCATGCGGTCCTTTTTCATCTCCACAGGGAAATGCTCYCAGGTGAATACCCTCCCCCATTCCTAGTGCTCTCCAGCACACGTTCAACGTCCCACATGACATGTAGAATGAAATTCCACTTTTTTCTRCTCCTTCCATTATGAAAAGTCAACCTTAAAACCAGAAAACAAYAATTTGGAAGGAAATCATCATCCTTTCTCCCACCCAGTGATTCCCTGGGGTTTCCATCCCTCCCACCACCCTTCGCTGAGCCTTGTGATGCAACAGGTGACAGGTGGAAACTCAGCTTCCCGTAACCTTCAGGGAATCAACTGATGGGGACAGGAAGATGGGAGGGACAACTTTTGCAACTGGAGAATTGTTGCTTCCCAGAAAATAAATCCCTGTCATCGATGCTGATCCTGAAGCAACTTGTTGGGACACGTATTAATAAAAGTCTAATCAGAACAATGAGAAACCAGCTGCCCTCCCTCCAAACGCTCTGCTGTTCCTGGGAATGTGTGTCCATGCCAGCTTCATCATGCAGTTCCCAGATCCCTCAGGATTTGTTATTCCAGGTGGAGAAAAAAAGTGGTTTAGGGAGTTCAGCATTGACATCCCACAGGGGAACAACCAGTGAAGCACAAATCATAAAACATAAAACCAGACCCGAACCAAGAGGCTTTTTTTTACAAAAAATTGAACTTCTACCTTTTTCGAATCCAGCCRGTGGCTCTCCTTATATTGGGATGTGCTCCAAGACTAAAAATATCAAGAAAGCCCTTCAATCCTTCAGTTTTTCTTAGAAGGAAACTTTCTGCAGGTGTTTGTCACCCAATTTTAACCAAGACAAGGAGGAATTTGACTACACTACGAGGAAACTGGTGAACGGGATACAAGGAATTAGTTCCGAGTTTTGGCTTTGATGCAGGAAAAATATCCTGAAATTAAAYCATCACCATTTTGGAGGAGACTGTCCCTACCAAGGGTGCAGCTACAAAAACACCACAAACCTCCTCARCTGTCCCACAGCAACACCAGCAATGTGGGATTGGGGAAGGTTAAATTGCCCTGAGACTGAGAATCCTGCAGGAACTACAAAAACACCCCCACACTCCATCCGAAAGGAAAATTCTGGACAAAACCCACATTGTGSCTTCTCCTGAGAAGATCCCTTGAATACAGTACCACAACCACCCAGTTTCCAGGTCACAGTTCCAGCTAAACCAAGAGATCCCATAAATGCAATCCGCAGAGACTCTTGAAATGAGTCTTMAAAATGCTGCTTAAACTTTGAGAGTTGGGCTCAGTGTTCCTCCATCCTTTTTGGTGATCACATTTAATGAAGTCCCACAGTTTTGTGGAGATTGAACAGGATAAAGCCCAGTGAGGGCGTCAGGCCCAAGCAGGAGACTCGGGCTCTCAATCCGAGAACCAAGGGATTGTTCCTCAGATGGGTATATTATGCTTTGGTGAGTCCAYGGTCTCCATTCTGGAAGAATGCTGGTCTCAATTCTAGAAAAACACCAAGCTTTTGCCATTTCACTGAAGTTCTGAATGATCTTTAAGGTCTCCTTCCCACCCCAAACACTTCTTTACCCCCTCTGTTCTATTCTAAAGGAATAGAGGGGATCAAGCCAAWACTGTGCAACACCCAAGAGCAACCAGTAGATGATTTTTCCTTGGAAATGCTCATTTTCGTCCCTGAAATGATATTTTGGAGGCCAGCTYAAGATATCCCCAGGTTCAGAAGGAGCACCATGATGTTTACTCAGATTTCAACAGGCTTTGTGCAATACGAGGAAAAAAACTCAAGTTTGATTGTTCCCTTCTGGGAAATTGCTGCCTTTGGTGGAGCAGGGTGCGGTCACCRTGTTGGGGTAATCACGGCACATCCCAAAACATGCTGTGTATTGGTGGCTGATGTCCAAACTGGAGACACCAGCGAGTAAAGGGAAAAAAAAAGACAGAGRAACTGACTCTGCTAAATTGCTAGTTCCCCTTTCAATGACAAATCCCACTTCACTCCCTTCCGGGTTGCACTGATTGGCAGAAGTTTCTTTGGAAGCACCAGGTTGCTTTTTTTCCCCCTAAGYGAGGGTATAAAATGAATTCCAGTCTCAGCAGACGATCCATCTTCCTCCTGGAACAATGACGTGGATTGGTGAGTGACTTCTCTCAATCTTGAGCTCTCCCTATGGTTTTTGCTGGTTTTCTTTCAWCTTCAGTGCCTGGGTTAGGTGGCTGGGTTCCATCTGGTTCCAGCTCTGTGCCACAAACCTCCCTTTCTCCAGCCGGGCTATTCCATGGTCACCTGGAGCYCCAAACACTGTGAGTAGGGGGAGACTTCCCTTCAAATCTGGGACGTGGGATGATCCTGGTTTTTCAGGAAACACAGGCATGAGCTTGGAGTCTCTGGGGCCATCCTGGCGGACACCTCCATGCTCCAGATTAATGGTTTCTCCACATCTTCCCAAAAAACACCTGATGGAAGGTGGTGATCCAGGTGATCTCAGGGTGTTTGCTCTGCTCTCCAAACAGGATCTCTGTGATCTTCCACATGGTCCATGGGTTTTTTCCAACCCAACCGTGATGATTCTGTGATCAGGGCAGGCCATTGCAACCTTATCCCACTGTTAGTGGGACAAGTGAAGCAGATCCTTCCTCAATGTTTTTTACAGCCATGATCMGTGTCTGGATCAGCTCAAGGGGCTGTGGGAAACACCCGTCTCAGGTGTTGGGGGATAAAGGCTCCAAGGTGGATTCCCAGCAGATCCACCCTGGATCTGTCACAGTTCTGGGGCTGTTCAACAAAAAAACCCCACAATTTCCAGGGACTTTCCAGCCGAAAGTGGGGTTTCCAAAGCTTTTCTTTTTCCCTGGATGAAAATTGGCAGCACTGGGGAGAAGGAAAAGAAAATTAAAGCTATTCTTCAGTTATAATGGAGAACAGAAACCAAAACTAGGAAAATCCCACAGGGGGAATGTGGGTGTGTGTGTGCTGTGCCCAAATTTTCTTTTACTGTGAAAATGTTGAGTAATGTTATGTCTGTTCAGTGGAAATTGTCATTTTGGGTCTGTCTGTGGCTCCCAGTGGGCATTGCAAAGACTCAGTGGTTTCAAAGGAAATAATTTTAAATTGGGAGGGATTTTTAAAAGGAGGGGATTTAAAATTGGGGCATTTTAAAGGAGAGAATTTTAGAGGAGGGAATTTTAAAGCAGAGTAAAATTAGTTTCTTTAAAATGCTCTTCTTTAAAATTAAGAAGAAAATTTTGAATTCAGAAATTTTAAAGAAGAGAAATCCCATCTCTGGTCATCCCTCAAACCCATTCATCTTTCTGTGAAATTTTAWCTCCATATCTCCTGTCTGTGCAAGTCTCCATCAGATCTGTCTGTCTGATCTGGTCACTTCTCTCCACCCTTCACATAAAAACCTCCCAGTTTACCCAGGTATGGGAAAGGACACTTGGGACAACAAAGTGCCTCATTTCTTTACACATGAGTGACATTAATTACTGTTCTTGGAGGCTTAGGAGCTTATTGTAAGGAGGTCAAAGTCATTTGGGGAACTCACCACAGCAGCTGCATAGGCAGAAGGTGACTATGGAGAAATAAAAAGTCATATCTGTCTTGATTTCTCTTTAAAGAAAATGAATYGCCATCACTGACACCCCTTGACACCTTCCATGACAAACCCGCTGGTGCCAGGGGTTTCACAACCACCCCAGTTCTTCCTTAGGGCTTGGAAATCAATGTCCTTGAAGTCAGTTTTTGCCATCAGGAATGACTTGGAGTGCCGAGGCTGTTTTATTCCCTTCTCTTCTCTTCTTTCCTCCCCAGTCCTCTTCCAAATGCTCCTGTTTGCGGGTCTCCTGGGCGCCAAATGGTTCCCATCCCTTCCTGAGTATTGTCTCCATGACCAGGACTACGAGGAGCTGCTGGAGATCGTCCAGGATGGGCTGGAGCCCGCACCTCATCCGGCACACGTGGTCGTGGTGGGCGCGGGGATTGGTGGGCTCACAGCAGCCAAGCTGCTCCGGGACGCCGGGCACACGGTGGGAAGTCTACGAGGTTGTCCTGGCCTTGTTTCCCTCCTCTGAAGGTTTTCCAGGCTGGAGAGGGAGGAGGAAATGCAATGGGTCAGGAAGGGAAGGCAATTTGGCTCCTATAATTTCACCCAGTACTGTTTCCTGCAGATCAAGCAAGCCCTTCACRTTCTGTCTTGAAGGCAGCAGAAATTGCAGGGGTTTCCAAACCATCCCAAGGTGCCCATGAGTCTCAAGGAGGGTTTCYGAGGTGTGGAGGGACAGATTGGGGCCTCTTTCAAAGCCCTCTTTGATTCTGAACCACCCCGGGAACCTTCTCACCGGCGGTGGTGTCCAAATGYAACCCAGGACTTGGGAAATGAGAAACTGCCCCATAGGCAGAGGGGTCTTGGCCAACAGAGAAGGGTTTGGATCTACAGGTGCTTCCTTTGCCATCTGGAGGGAACCTGTCCCAGCCACTGGATGTTGTTTTGGGAGTGTTTCGCTTGAAACAGACATTTCCCAAATGCTTCCAATCTCCACCAACATTTTTTAGGTTACCATTCTGGAAATGAGCAACCAGGTCGGGGGGCGGATCCAGACATACCGCCCTGAGGGACAGGACTGGTACGTGGAGCTGGGMCCCATGCGCCTGCCAGGCAAGCACAGGTGAGGGCGTGTCCACCCCCGTGTTCAGGCGGGGGACAGGCACAGTTTGGGGAGGGAATTGTCCTCCTCGTGCCCCTGGGGTTCGGCGTCTGTGCCAAGGGGATGAAACGCTTTGGTGGCAGAACTGGGGAGCTGTTATTGGTTCTTGGCATCATCACTCTGCCCATTCCCCAGGCTTGTCCGTGAGTTCATCCGCCAGTTTGACCTGAAGCTGAACCCTTTCATCCAGAACAATGACAACACCTGGTACTTTTTGAAGGGCACTCGGGTCAGGGCAGAGGAGGTAAACAGGAACCCCGACATCCTGAATTACACAGTGAAGCCATCAGAGAGGGGCAAGAGTGCTGACCAACTCTACCAGGAGGTGCTAAACAAGGTACGAAATTTCCTCTCATCCATGGTGTCCCTTCACCTGAACAATGAGTTAGGGAAGAATTGGCCCGGAGCTGGGAGAGAGCAGGGTCCTTTCAGAGAGGCTCATCCAGAAATGAGGCTGGGTGGTTGCGAAACTGCTCTTTGTATGCAAGAAACCTTTTGGAATGGGTCCACCAGGACTTGGAGGAGCAGAAAATGCCATGCCAAGGCACAGCTGCTGGAAACTTGATGTCCAGAAGCTCCAGGGGTTACCAAACCCTGCAATCCTGTGAGAATTTTGGCCAGCGCTTAGGGAAATATATCTTTCTCCCATGACAATCTCAATATTTCTTCTGCAGGCTTTTAAGAAGTTCCAGTCCATGGACTGCAGGAAGTATCTGRCTCAACATGACTCCTTCTCCACGAAGGTAAAGGGCTGGAGCTTGAGGGTAAATTTAATCCCAATTGTTGATAATTAATCTGTTCTTCCTGCTTTGAGAAAGGTCTGTGTCACTGTATTTCTATCCTCTGCCACCTATTGGATGCTTTTCCCTAGTAATTGATCCATTCTACTTAAGAATGCTGAGAAAGGGATCAGCACAGCTCTGATGAAGGTAACAACCTCAGTCTGTGTCTTTTATTTTGGGTTCTCCAGGAATATTTGATCAAGGTTGGGGGGCTGAGCCGAGGAGCTGTTGACATGATCGGTGACTTGCTGAATGAGGACTCGGGGTTTTACCTGTCATTCCTCGCCTCGCTGTGGGACTTTGACATCTTCTCCAATGAGAGGTGAGTGCTGTCACTTCAATCCAGCTCCGTTCCCACAACAGGAAATGTCAGAGTGATTCCAAATGTGAACCACTCACATCTAAAAGGGGCCTTCAAGCTCCGTCGGCATCTCCAGAAGAGCTCAGGTTTTTACACTCCCTAAACCCAAACTCTTCCCATAGCTCCCACTTCTCCTGTCTTCCAGCTTTGATGAAATCACTGGAGGGTTTGACCAACTGCCCAGAGCCTTCCACAAGGCGCTGCCCAACRTTGTCCAGTTCAACTGCACCGTAGAGAAGATCATGACAAAAGGCAACAAAGTCCGAGTGTTCTACCGTGCTCCAGACACGCTGGCCCCGACCATCGTCTCTGCAGATTACGTCCTTGTCACCTCCAGTGCCAAAGCCACCAGGCACATCCACTTCTTGCCACCACTGTCCCCAGCCAAGGCCCATGCCCTGCGCTCCGTCCACTATGCGAGTGCCTCCAAAATTATCCTGGCATGCTCCGAGAAGTTCTGGGAGAAGGATGGGATCCATGGAGGGCACTCCATCACTGACCGCCCTTCCCGCTTCATCTACTACCCCAGCCACAACTTCTCCAGTGGGGTGGGCGTCATCCTGGCTTCTTACACTTGGAATGATGATGCTGAGTTCTTCCTGCCCCTCACGGATGAGAAATGCCTGGACGTGGTGCTCCAAGACCTGGCTGACATCCACCAYGTGAGCAAGGAGTACCTGCAGTACACCTGCGACCAGCACGTGATCCAGAAGTGGCAGCTGGACCAACACTCCCTGGGGGCTTTCGCTGCCTTCACCCCGTACCAGTTTGTGGATTACTCACAGGCCCTGTTCTCTCACGAGGGCCGGGTCCACTTTGCCGGGGAGCATACGGCTCAGCCCCACGCCTGGATTGACACTGCCATGAAATCAGCCATCAGGGCCGCCAGCAACATCCACCACGACAGCGGCGAAGTCCCGGCATTGGATGGGGAGAGGTTCGGGAGACTTGTGCGGAGGGGAGAGCTCTGAGTGTGCCCCTGGGCATTTTTTGGTGGTGTGAATCTGGCTCTTTCCAAGAAAAATCAGCAGAATTAATCGGCAGTGAAGGTGTTAAAGAATTGGGTGTCTTCAGGCAGGACCAACTGGTTAAACACGTCATGGGGAGAGGAGTAGTAAATAGTACTGCAATAGTGAAATCAAAGTTAGAAACACATTATGGGGATATGAGGGAGCATGAAAACCAGGCAGTGCGTTCCAGGACTCTGGTGTTCCCCTTGTCTACTGCCGTAATTCCCAGCTGATTTGTCTGCAAGGCACTTCATGGAATGACTAAGGTGAAATAAGGGTGGAGACTTCTGGGTTCCTTGTGTCTGAGGGCAGTGTCATCACATGTAAATGGCATTGCCACGCTCCAGCTCTTTAGGAAGTCATMACCCTCAAATCCTCCACCCCAGAATTTGAGAAAGAGCCCAATGCTTCATCATTGTCCTCTCCTTTGAGTGGTCCAACACAATTAATTAATTAATTAATCTATCGTAATTCCTGGTTAGTAACTAACCGTTCCCCAAGGCATCAGTCAGGATGTGATCCCAATGGTCTCTTCTACCTAAAGTGTGGCCAAGTTGATACAAGTATGTAAAATTAATCACCTTGAATCTTCAAAGCAAACCCAAGGTTTGACTGCACTTTCTCCTCTCACCAGTTATTGCCCTGAATTCCAGAGCCTTGGAAACTCTGCCTGAGCTAAAAGTGGGATTATTTTTCCSACATGATTGACAGGATAATTATAAATGTCTAAAGTAAATACCTGCCTGGTTGCTGAGAGCACCACACTGACCTTCGCTGCAGTCACAGAGCTGCTTGGCCTGTAATTCATCCTGATTTCTATAAAATTCCAAAACCTGCCTCTCCACCTCTGACTCCACACAGCTGGAGGRAAACAGCTCCATGTCCATTCCCAGACCAAAAACAGAGGTTCAGCTCCCACTGGAGGCAGCAGAAATGGGATCGGGGGAGACCATCACACCTGTCAGGTTCTTCCCGGCATCAGAGAGGGAGATTTATCCCCATTTGCACCAAATAAATACAGCTAATAATTAATTAAGTACAGAGTGACCACCAGTAGCACATTTTGAGTTTCGCTAGGCTCTGTGCCACGAGTTCAAAGCACTTTTGAGAGGCCCAACCCTAGAAATCAAAAATCTTGTAGTTAATCATTACTATTATCCCTCACTTCTTCCAGCTCCTTAAGGAACATCCCTTCTGGAACAYGGGGCTACTCTTTGGACATGACAGAAACCCACAAGTGAGGCTCTGTCAGGGCATGTGCAGTTGCATCACATCGGGAAATTCATCCAAAAAGCCATGAGTACCTTCCCAAGCTCGGAAGAGCCAAACGCCGCATGCAGTATCCGCTACATAGGGAAACTCAGAGTTCAAAAGGTGAAACTCGGCAAAAAGAGAAAAGAGAAAGGTTTTAGGTGCTTTGTGAATTCCCTGGAATCTAGGTTCATAACGTGCAGCTCCAGCCCCGTCGCTAMGGACTGCAAAGAGGGAAAGGAAAAAGGACCAGGTTGCGTCCCTGGGTGGGCTCGAACCACCAACCTTTCGGTTAACAGCCGAATGCGCTGACCTATTGCGCCACAGAGACCCGGGAGAGGGGCTAGGAATCCAGAAAAATTGTATAAAAATAAAATCTTGTGAGGTTTTGCCCAATTATGTCAGTGGGGGGTGAAGATGGAAATTGTGAAGGGAATTGGGATGGTGATGGAAATGGTATGGAGTTTATAGACCATGATTGGGGATGTGATGGAGATGGGGATGAGGATAGAGATTGGGGATAGGATGGGGTGAGATGGAATAGAGGTGGGAGTGAGGATGAGGATGAAACAGAGACAGGAATGAGGATGGGATGAAGATGGGAACAGGATAAGGATGAAGATGG